TCCCCCGCCGTCCCGTCCGGCCCCGTGCCCGTCCCGTCCGGCCCCGTGCCCTTCCCGTCCGGCCCTGTGCCCTTCCCGTCCCGTCCGGCCCCGTGCCCGTCCCGTCCGGCCCCGTGCCGGACTCGCCTCGCTCGCAGTCCCCCCGCTCCCGCTGGGTTCGCTCCCCGGGCCGTGCTTTGGCGTTTCTCGGGGCCGCACGGCGGCACCGGGCGCGGAGGGGACACCTCGGGAGGATGCACCGCGTCCTTAAAGGCTTTTTTACCGCGTCCTCAGCGGCACATTTTCTCTGCCTGCTTCTTTGTTGAGGCAGCTGGATGAAGCAAAATGTTCTTTCTCATGCGTTCTCTGCATGAGCCAGTTTTTTTAAGCAGTCCGGACAACCTGCATTAAGCATTTTTGAATAACGTTTGGAGTTGGATGATATTTTGCAATATGGACGACAAAAAAATCCAGAGCAGTCATACATAACAGTAGGACTCAACGTGATTGATTTTACTCAATTGTCTAGTTTAACCATGCAGCAGTTTTGAAAAAAATCCCTCCCAGATACCTAAATCTAGACTCGCATTATTTCCCCAGCTTTCAGAATCTTTTACAACAGCAATGTTGAACAACTATTTGATTCTGCAAGCCTTGCAGACATGCTTAGCAATCTGAATAAATACTGCATCCAGCAGCACTGCTTACAGTGCATACCTTTCTAGATACACATTTTTCTTTAATCAAAACCCAAACCAGAACAAGATAAATATTTTTCCTCTGGTTGTTTTCAATTATTTATTTTTTACAAGACCTTTTTTTAGGTAGTGTTCCAAGTATTTCTGTCATTTTTAGTATATGCTGGTTTCTAAAGAAGATTGATAGTTAAATAAATACTTTTGCCAGATGAAGAACATGGGAGTAGTTTTGGGTTTTCCATTAAAGCTAATGGGATTTTTGCACGAACATTAGCTAAGAAAGAGAAAGAAACTAGAGAGAAACAAATCCTGCCAGAATGTATCTAACTTGCTATCAGGCAGCATTTGAAACACCCTGATTTTGCTCAATGCCTTGTATTCTTCATTGTTTTTCAGAACATTACCAAATTTAAATCCCAAGGTGTTTTCAGTATTTTCAGAACTGCTAAGTTTTCTGTTTAGAAATCCCTTTTCATGTCCACTAACCTTCAGCCTCTATTTCTAGGTTGGATTTCAATAAATTAATTCTATACATTATAAACAGATTCCTAATCAAAGTACAGATGAACTAGTAATAGTTGAACTGTTAATAGTGCATGTCAAGGGATTGCCAAGTTTTGCCTAAAACAACCATTATAGTTTGCAATACAAAACAGATAGATCTCAAACTTTTATTCCTTACTTCCTTGAATGATTTTATGTCATGCAAAATGGCATGCAATGATATCTGTGATGACTGATTTGCCTGTAACTATACCCTAGATGACTGAACAACTAGATGAACAGAGGAGAGAGCTATGTCACTGAAGCAGAACTTCTCTCTGCTACATCCTCCATCAAGAACTAGCATAAAATCTCACAAGATGGTGAGAGGTTTTAAGCCTCCCTTAGATGTCTAGAGTGTCATACCTTTACAGGTAACACTTTACCATCTAATTGGCATGGGGAAAGAAATGGAAAGTCACAGCTGTCCAAAGGGAGAAGATGTAAACTCCATTGAATAATGACAATACTAAAACAACCCCTCTGCCCCCTCAAAGATTTCAGGGTTTCATGAAAACAATAAAAAAAGGGAAACAGTATAGTTCAAAGGACGTATTTTAGTGCTATTAAGTTACACCCAAGAAGAAGTCATTACCTTGGCATATGGATACTGAGAACTGGAAAAAAGAAGAGCTGTTCTTTGTGAGAAGATCAATGCCACAGATCTCAGATAATGCATATTGTCAATCTCCACCTGCACAGAAGCAGCAGCAACAATTCTGCAGTGTAGCTACAAACATATGAAGAATCTCCTTTTATCTTATAAATTTGGGAATAACCTGTTATCCAACCAATTTTAGGGAATCACCTGAAATCATTGTTGTGTAAGTTCATTAAAAAAATCAGTTTAGTCTAGTACTACAAGTTTAGTATTTTGTGGCTTCTACTTCTCTGGTCAAAATAGCACAAAGACAGGAAATACAAATATTTTTCTCCAATTGCTAAGAGTAAACTATATCCTTTTCACAATGTAGTTCTTAATTTTACTAAAACTGAGATGCATACACCACAGCTGGAAACTAAAAGCATTTCATTGTTTCCACAGCCCAGTGTAGTTTATCTGCAAAACAATCGTATCAGTGTGTCAATGTGCCCTGCACTGGCTCACAGGGCTGCACACAGCTCTGCAGACCTGCTCTGTGTTGCAACTGCTTCCTCCAAGTGAGCTCTACCTGCCCCATGGGTAAGGCTTCAGGCTCTCAGACTTCACATAATCTAGAATTTTACAGCTGGGGTGTACTATGAATACTTTGAATTGGTCAGGGCTCAGACTTTGTATTTTCTGAAAAATCCTACCAGTTTGAAATCTTAATTTGTCCCAATTTAGAATAAAAACTGTTAAAACATTTCCTAGGAAATAGAAATTCCGCTAACAATGTTATTTGGGAAACAGATCCACAGCATTTTCAAAAAGCAACAATTTCTTCCAAGAGCAGTGGAGCCCCGAATACCAGGAGGTCCTTGTATTCCTGGGTCCCTGAGACAAGGAAGAGGCTGTCACACGGGAGTAGATCTGACTGAATGGAAAACTGGCAGCTGACCTGCCTTGCAGATGACTATCAAAAGTTATCTGTATTCTATTATAAGGCTCACTGAGATAATCTTTCATGAAATGTTTCACTCTCAGTGAACCAGCAACTCCTGACAGAAAACATGCCAACAGAATAGTGTTTCCAAGAGATGCATTCACAGCTGGATGATACAATGATAAGAATATCTCAGACTTGGCTAGACTAGCTGGTCAGCATTAGTTCAGTGCTACAAGTCAGCCTCCTGAAATAATAATGATCTTTGAGTCACCTTCTGTTCTCCTAATTGCTGACTGCAGTCGTTCAGTAATGCCGCATGAGCATTAGAAGCACAGCACAGAATCCTTGCTAATGGTTTCATACTTGGTTAGAGAGAATCTCCTGGACAGATACTTTTGCAGTCTACTTTGAAGTTTGTAGTTAAATACAGATCACAGGCTGCCCAGAAATTCTCCTGATCAAAGCACCTTGACAAGGAGTCTTGTCTTTTTCCTCCGGGTCCTTATAACATGGTAATGGGAAAAGCATGCAAATGATGACGAAGATTTCTCTTGAGTATCTGTAGAGCTAAGTTTTGGAAGACTTTACTGTGTTCCCATGTTCTTCACACAGAAGATGTGCTAAGAGAAGTTGTGCTTGAGGTACATCACATCACTGTACATTCAGGCTATCAAAAATTGTGGAGCAGGGTCCCTAGCTGGACATAAATAATGTGTTTTAAATCAATGTCAGCAAGTCCAAGAGACACCTAACTTGTCCACTTTAGCTGCTGTATTTCCTTCCATATACTGTTTCTAATGGCCAGAGGACAACCTCAAATCTAACCATTGTTGCTTTTTTCATTACAGAAGTAGTAGAAACTATCATTTGCTAGTAATACTCTTGCAGCTTTTCCCATTATAAAGTCTGGTTTGAGTTTTTTAATACTTTTGTCAGTTTTTAAGTGTTTGGATCAATACATACTCAGGGATTTGCAAAAAATGTGACAGAAATTAATTTAAATCAGCAGCCTTGATTCTGGAATTTCCCAACTCATGAAAGTTTTATTTTACAGCCTTAATAAAAGCTTTGGTTTTGTACATACTTATATGTTAAATATTCGGTATAAAATAAATTGTGGCAGGTTACCACCTGTCAAAACTCCATGGCCCCTGCAAAAGTAAACATATGTAATTATGGTGTAGGTCATACTAAAATGTACCAGCTACTCTTGGAACATCAGAGAACCTGAAGGGAAAATGGTGGTTAAAGAAAATATTTTTAAAAGCTAGTAAGAGTGAAAAATGAGGAAAATGTCCTGGATTTTATACAGTGAATGGTAAAGCACCCACAGCTATAAATGGTGTCATGCAGAAAATCAAGGCAGAAAAAAAACCCCAAACCCTACAAAATCAGGAATTGTCAGAGTGCAACACTGGATTTATTATCTTTGAAAGTCCAAATCACAAAACAAAGTTTTTCTAAACAAAAAATATTTGGCTTTGTACAGTGTGTAGAGGTACAGTAGACTGTATATGTAGAAGATTTTGTCTCATGTTATAAAGAACAACAGACAAAGCAATCTAACATTCACTTCCAAAATTTCTGTGCCAGGACATCTCAGTTTGGAAGTAGGACAAGATGGTCCTGTTTGTATTTTACTTTAGTTGACAGATTCTGTTAAGATTAGTTTTCTTGAAACTTTAAAAAAAAACCCAAACTGAAACCAACTGGTTTTGGAATTATATACTTAACATTTTGAAAATTTTTCAGCAATGCTCCTTCTAATCAATTTATGTCTAACAGTTAGAAACAATTATTATGTCAAACACTAGGCAAAAATGAAGAAATTAAATGTAACTTATATGAAATCTGATGTTTCTATTTGTTTTTTAGATGAACATACATTCATTAAATGTATAAAATGTTAAAAATGGGGACTTGAACCTGGAATTGAAAATTAAATATTCTTGAGTGTTGTCTATATTTTACTAATGCTGAAAAATATCACCAGACAGTCTTGAGGCTGCCAAAGAGAACAAATAAGAAGATAGCTAGATAATCTTTATGCACACAACTTTTAACAGTGTAACTTTTAAAAAGCCAGAGTTCAGAGCTACAAGAAAGATAAGAATGCATCTTGGTGCCTTTTGCTTTCAGGGTGAAAATGTGAAGAAAACTTCAGTTGTAATAATTACTAAGACAATTTTTTTTCTTTATTTTATTTTATGACAATTTCTAATTTTCCCGGCCAACAATGGGAGAAACAGCACAGGAGTGATACTATGGAGTGCTTATAGGTTTCCAGTTTTTATCTTCATTCGTCCAAGAACAGTGGAGACAAACATCCACAAACTCTTTTGCGTAGAGGAAAGCTTTTTCAGACATGCCCAAAGGAAAGGGCATAGCTGTGAATGATTTCTGCACAGATAGGCAGCATTGACAATTTAGATCTGTGCATTTCCATATGCAGCCTTGAAGTTTTAAGAACAGGGGAGTTATTCTTGCAAAAAGGACTAAATTAAGACTGTTTAAGCTACTAAATACTGTAGACTTGATCCTCATTTACCTTGTGTGAAGGTGCTCTACTACAAATGTAAATCAGGTGCTTTGTGTTTTCCCAGCAATTATAAAAGCTCTTGAAACAAACATCCTACATGAGCTTCTCTTTGTGCCTTTCTATAAATAAGGATTTACTTTTCTCCTTGAGAAAGGAAGCACACTCTTGCTGTATAAGACAAGCAAATTAGCTTTCATGGTTCCTAGGGCAGAAATCTGCACAGTAACACATGAGGCTCTTCTCAATAATGCTCCAGTGTCTGGTGGTCTCTCAAATACCCTTTGTAAACAGTTTACATTGATCTTTGCTCCAAGCTGTGAGACGTTTTGGGATCTTTTTTCAGTATGGCTATTTGCCCACCATCAAGACTTTATTTTGGTAATCCCAAAAATAGGCTAGGATCAATTACAAAGACTTTTCCTCAACAATGTAGTTCTAAAATAAATTTAAAGCCTAAGATTTTGGCAAAAAATGACATTAACAGTCAAACTGGAAATCTTTCAAACACTGATTGATCAAGACCCAGCTGAGTTTATTCTACTCAAGATAGATTTTCATTAGATAGTCCAAGAAGAGTGTTTGTTTTGGCCTCTGTTTCTAGAAATAATATTAACCTGGCAAAAAAAAAGTTGTTTCCATAAAGAAAAAGGCTGTTGAGTAGGTTAAATATCTGTGTCTTTCTTCTCATATACTACATTAGTTTCTCTTACAACCCGTATTTGTATTTTCAGGAGCTTGCAGTAGTTTCAGGGCTGTGGTTAAATCACCCATCTAGATCTCTTTGGTATTTATCTGGCCAGAGTTTGTGAGAAGGTCACAGTCCAATGCAAGTATGTTCAGAACACATCTGAGACTTAAAGAAGTGTTCTCTCTCCATCATTCATCCACAAAGATTTTATTCCTAGACAGTTAAAGTGCAGAGTTCCAGGCATTCAGGCACAGTCACATTACTAATGGGACCCAAATATTTTTTACAATCTGAGGCAACACTTAGCTCTTTTGACATTTTTAGGTTGTTTTAAATGTCACTAGTAACATGGTTACAAATATCCAGTGGCAGACTTGAAAAACCAGCTCAGGTCTTCCACAGGACCTTGTTTAGGTCCTTCACTTTCATTTCCCTTGCTTTATTACCAGTTTTATATGCTTTAGGGAAAGCATATAAGCTTCCTTTAGAAAGAAAGAATGTGAGACCCACAGTTACTAGAGGAAAAGAAGCTCATAAGAGAGATTAAACCTACGGAAATTTTCATTTTTATTTGAAAAGGATTATACTTTTCATTTCATATTATCCTTGCAGAGGAAAAGTGGTATATTGTGTTGTCAAGCCTACCTTCACTTCATGAGACAAGAACATATTGGCAAAATTATCGATGCTGAAGACTTTCTTCTGGAGTGTGTTCACATAAATGGGATGTTCCTTTTGTATACATGCATCATGAGACATGGAATTCTTTCTGCATGGAAAAGGAAAACCTGAAAACAGAAGAAAATTGTGATTAAAGATGCTGCATTGATCTCTTTTACAACAGTTTTCCACCAAGGTAAAGTTTGCTTTACAGTCTTCAAAAGAAACAAATCAAGTGCATACTATGTATGTGACAATACTGACTGCTTAACAAAACCAGCACATGCCAGCTGCTGAATTTACTTGGAATGCATATTTATATGTACCAGGTTCACTTGCAGTGTATGTTTTTCAACTTTTCTCTTTATCCAGATAGCAACTGAAGCTCAAGTTGAGCCTGTGAAGATTTAAGAAAATACTTGCTTCCACATGCTTTCCTTCTCTGCTGTAAACTGGGCATCATCTTTGACTCAGATCTTCCCAGGTCAGCTGTGTCTAGAGATAGCTGATTTTCTTTCAGCACCTCTAAAATAGGTGCTCTCTTTCCATACATCAAATCTTGAAGCAAGGCTTTCATTTCATATCTTTATCCATGGTTTTCTGATGTGGTCTTTCCCTTCTCATTTATTCTTTCTTGCTCTGAAAATTATTTTCTAATAAATTTATATTCGAATAAGTATTCTAATAGTATTTTTATTGTATCATTTTGTCTCTGCATTCCTTAGCTGGCACTGGCTACCCACTTCTATCAAACACAAACTTCTGATCTATTTCAAGTTTCTCCATAGACTCTCCACATTCCACACCACCTCTCTTTCATTATAGACTCATAAACCCTCACCTTTTCTTTGCCCATTTATTAAAATTTAGGACAGCCTTCACATTTTATTTTTCACATCTGAAACTTCTAAAAAGTCTCTGCAAAATGTTTTTTTAAATCCAGGATAATGCAATACACATACTTGCCATTCTACGACAGTTACCTGTACTTAGAAAAGTTTATGTCAGCTGTGGATAATCTAAATGCTACTGCAAAGGATTTTCATTTGAAAATGAGCAAAAGTTCTATTGAAGAGTGAAATGTGAGGAGTACACAATTTTAATCATGTTCAGAAGTAATATGAGAAATGAAGACTAATGCTACTGTGACAAAAAGGGAGCAGAATCAGAAAACAAAACATGAATAAGAAGCACAGTGCATAAACACTAATCGTGGTGGACTGAACATGAGTACAGGACAACAGGACTGCTTTGCTGAAGTACAGCCATAAACTGCCCCTTGTCCAAGAAGTTCTGGACAAAACTGTTTAAGAGCTTGAAGTTATTAGTTAAGTCTGTTTGAGAAAGTAATCTCCTTACTTTCAGAGAAACATTATCAGCAAAAGGTTTTTTATGCTTATTGTATTTTTGGAGCAGAAGGAACAGTTTTTTCAAAACCAAGCTATATTGTTTGAAATACTTTCTTCAACAATTTTACCCCAGAGTCACATCCTTCCTTAATATGTCCCGCAATAAACTCTTCAAATTGCCACCACGGACATAGCTAGTACATAGGAACCCTATGCTCCTCAGGAACATGAAAGACCAGTAAAGCGTGTGATTCTGGCTGGAATACCTAAGATGTTGAATGATTTTAACTTCTGCTGCTGGGGCAAAGCTTGTTTTTAACTTATTCTCACAGAAAGCTCTGTTGTGGTCAGCAGATGGCTGTATCATTGTGCAAGAGTACTATATTTTGTTGACAAATGGGCACTCAAGCTATCATGAGGGAAATATGACAGTATTTAATATATTAGTTATAACCATAATCTAAAAATAAAACAACTGTATATTGCAATAGTGTAGAAACATGAGTTATTCAATGAAAGAGGAAGTGAGAATTCACTGCCTTCTCCTAAAATTAAAAAAAGAAAAGCTACCAGAGGAAGCACAGTGCTATTGCAAAGTTCCTCTTTTAAACATTATTGATTCTATAAAATTCAAAAGGAGCTCATATTCAGTTTGTATTCTATAAAAAAACTGTGTTTCCAACTTCATCTGGAAAACACAGATTACTAGTTCTATCCCAGTAAACCTTTCATTGTCTTGTGCTCTTGTGAATCAAGTAATACAATTGGCCACAGCTGGGTTATTGTAATTTCTTTGCACAGTGGAAGGAGAGTCTCACCTTGACTCTTGCTTGACTCATAGACATTTGGTTACAGACCAGCACTATAGGCCATGGAAAGATGAAGAAGACAGAAAGTTCAAGGTCTCCAAATTCTTAATAGTAATATTCAGAGCTCATCTCTATGTTACCTGAACAGGGTAAATACCACCTTTCAGAAAATCTATAATTTCATGGGGGCAATTTTTTATGAACAATGTGGAAACAAACAAATTCCCTGGCTATCTTATTCATCAACAGCCATGTAAAGCTGAGACCACTAGTGTGGTGTGTTAAGCTCTTGCACACAGCTTTTCTCTCAGGATTCATCATACAAGATTGTGGTAGGGTGGAAACTAAAGAGTATTTGGTTAAAGATTGTCCTGTATCTGTCACAAATCTAACATAATCTGAGTTGGCCAAGACAGGTCAAAGCTGTCATAGTATGACAAAACTCCTAGCCTTGAATTTTTGCATCACATGTACTTTTTCTGTAGACTCAACTTTCACTTCTATGATGCCACAGTCTGGCTCACTGGGACCTACCAGGCAGGATTGACTGTGTAGCCAAATTCCAGCTGTGCATTTCTTATGCATGAACTAATTTCATATGCACCTTCCTTTGAGGTGGGGCTAGAAGACGAAACTCTTAAAAACACTTTCCCACAGTTGCTTCCATATTTAGTACATGGCCTAAAAGCAAGTTCTGCTTTCTAGTTTCCCCCCTTATGAGCACCAAGTGCCACACACTTCAAATGTATTTTGCAGGAGCTATCAGGAACTTCGTTTGTAAAACATAGTTCTGATGACTATTTCTGAAGGTTTCCACCTGTTTCTTGCAGACAATGCTTACACAGATGGGAAATGCAAAAACTCTACTTTGCACTTCTTCACACCAGAAAAAAAAAACATACAAGTAGTTTATATTGCTGCTTTCCTCATACTATCCCTCACCTTATATGCATATTACATCTGGACAAATGTTACACACTACACATATGCTCTATGTGACAGACACGCAGCAGAAAAATTTTGCAGCCTAATACTGACATGCAGCTACAGGAAATCAAATGCATGTGGAAAAAGATGTAACCTTGCATTAGTATTTTAAAAAACCTGCTGAGAGGGAAATAATAAATATATACTCAGATTTTGGAGATACTTTCTGACAAGCAAAAAAATGTTGACAATTATCTCCTTAAAGAGTTCTGTAGTTGCTGTGAAAATAATGGATGGCTGGGAAGTGGACAGGGGGTGGAACAAGTTTATCATGAACCCTGAACAACAGAAAAAAAAATTTCAACGTTATGAAGTTTAGTAGTTTGCGACTATTATTGTGCTGTCAAAAGAAGACTATTAAGTGTTCCAAAGGCTTGCCCTGGGCCTCCAGGCAATGGGGGAAGTTTTAATATTCATGTGAATGTAATGAAACAGTCAACATGTAGTAGGTAAAGGAGAACACTTAAACTTTATTTTAAAAAGATGAAAGTTTAAACTGGTATGACCAGAGGACCAATTTCCATGCTTGTTCTCACACAAACACATTCACCTTTGAACTGATGAAACTTTAAATGAACATTCTACCTGTATAAACCATGCTTACAACATTTTAACAATCAGGAAAGAAAAGGGAAATAAATCCCAGAGGAAAGACGAATGAGGTAAGGTTGAACAACTTTAAATTAGCAAGACAAATAATTAATTTATTTCTATTAATCAAGTCAGATAATTCTCTCTTCTTCTGTCTTGAAGTACCTCTTATATTCGGTAAGAAGCTTCAAAACCTTGCTCATATCATGCTTAGTTTGACGTACATGTGAAATCTAACATACAGCATTAATAAAATCAAATTATACTTCTCATTAAACTAACTTTTGCACACATTGCTCTGAGCAATATCAAAAAGCCTATTTTGTAAAGCTACAGAAATTATGTTAATAATAAATGCTGGCATTTTCAAATGAAGACCCTCAGGTTACAATTTTCTAGTTAATAACAAACATAATTCTGAACAAGTTAGATGAGATTTCAATATTCCATGTCGTGACATATACAGGCTTCCTTTTAAGGCTGCAGCCAGTTTAATTTATCATAAGATTAATAAAGCTAATAAATGATATGTCAGGCTTTTCCTGCCTCAGCTGCAATTTGTGTTAGATGCTCAGCTCTCACAGTGAACAAGGGGGCCTACTTGAACAGATGTCTACAAGGAACAGAAAGGGATATATATAGATCTCTGCTATGTACAAACAGTTAGAAGAAATATGGATGTACACAGTGATATTTATATGTGAGAGCAGGAACACTTAGACTCTGATCTAAAACTCATTGAGCACAGCAAAAAAATCTCCCTCAGGCGTGTCTGACTTATTAATCAAGACCTTAGACAAATTTTAACAGTATAAATCCTGGGTATCTAAACAGTTGCCTAAACATATTCTACATGTAAAATGGAAGCCATTGACTAACCCAAGGCCCTACCATACACAGAGGAAAAATAAAAATGGAAATCCATCTTAAAACTATGATGGTGGATAGAATTCTAGTAACTAAGCTTTGATCATAGACTTTCCAGAAGTACTTCTAATTTCCTGCAGTTAAAAGTGTGAATTTCCCAACTTCACTGCTAACATTTTCAGATTAAAACGTCTTCTTCAGCTTTTCATCCAGGTTGAGATATTGGTTTGTTTTGCTTTTGGTTTTCCACAGTATGAATCAATGCTTTCCTCTTAAGAGTAATGGAGAAATAATTCTATTTTCAGTTCAGATTTGCTGAAAAATGCTTTCAAAAGGATGGAAGAGAAGATGGGCATAAGGATCATGGTGCTCTTTAGCACATTGGGTTTTAGCTTCTTCATTTGCTATAATTTTAAATAACTTTATATTATGTTCTTGTTAACTAGCTTCCGCACACCACAGAGTCATACTTCAATTTGATTTACTAGGATTTTTTAAATGCTGCTTTTGGTAATTTCTTTGATATAAGCTCTTAAATGAGAGCTTTCCATCTTTCTTGTAAGGAAGTTTTAGGGTTTACAGGTCTTCTGCCATATTGCACAATCACAAATGATTTTTTTTAAAAAAACCCACCCTTAAATAGAATTAATATTTTTTGGAAGAACATAAAGCCTGTCATTGCTACTTCCTTATACATATACTTTTTACTTTTGGCCTTATAAGAAGATTTTTCCAGAATGCTCTGACATTACAGTCTGATGTGGTGATGTGATTCACTTCTCACTAATTGCAATCTCTTAAAGCTTTCTGGAAAAACAGTGTCTTGATGAAAGAACTTATCTGATGTACCCTAGAGGATCATCCAGTCATTGTACCAAAGATTTTCAGTATCTGCATTGTACTACTTGAAAAGTGGATACTCCAGCCTTTAGATATCACTTGCCTTAAACACATATTTTTAATCGTATTTTGTAGCTTGTATCTATGCCTTTGTCCTCTATGATCAAAACTTCCATTCTTCCACCTGAAGGTTATTTTGTTTGAATAACCACAAAACAAACAACCCTTTCAATTGCATTCTCTGTGCTTTGCTATGGCAAAAGTTCTAATTAATGCACTGATTTCTTTTCCTCTTTTCTACTGTTGGCCAGGGGCACAACAGCTTGGCAATATTTTACATATCTGCACCCTCTCAATTCATAACACTGAGGGCTATGGGCTGGTCCTGCATTACTCTGGGCAGGTAAAAAATCTTAGCATAGTGCCTCATTTACCCTGTATAGAAAATTAAGGTCAGTCTCTACAAAGTTATCTTTATTATCAGTGTATAAAGTGATCTCAGTAAAATTTAAGGGAACACATTTATGGTAAAATGTTATTTTTTTTCTGGTGAACTGCTGGTTTCCTGAAACTAGAAACATATCTATTTGTTCCCTTTCAAAAACAGATGTCCTGCTTTAATTCTAAATTATCTGCTGCTTTATAGAAACTTAAACTACTAGGACATGCAATCCAAAAGGACTGGGGAGGTTAATAAAGGTCTCCCCCTTCTTCCTCAGTGGAGGGTGTATAATGACAGCATATCTACCCAGTGATCTACTCACCCATGATAAGAAAAGGAAAAGAACGATTTCTAACTGCATGTGTTAGATCTTGAGTCATGCAACTGCTGAGAAACGCCCAGCTGTAACCTGGGTGGAGTGCACGTCTCCTCTTCCCAATATAAAATTAAAAGCTTCTGGAAGAAAGCAGGCAGAATGTAGGGCTGGAATTCAGGGAAATGATTCTGCTGCACATTCATTTCATCTGACAGAAAACAAATTAGGAAGTTTAACTTATTTCCACCTCCTCTTTGCACAAACTTTGTATCTCTCTAACATTAGAACACACACTGTTAATCGAGTCTGCATCTGCTGTAGCATTTCCCTCACCACATTTCTTCCCTATGAATATGTGATGGCCTCCACCCATCCCACTGGAACACAATCCTCATGCTCCTGAACAGAGACCAAAAACTTCACAGATACCACTCAAGATTTTCTGGGATTTCTGTTATTTTCTCTTTGCTTTCTAGAGGTGTGCTGTACTTTTCTCCACTGTTCCTCTTACAGGCAGTGCCAGGTGAGCTTAGGAGAGCTGCAAAATACTGCCATTCAGCTGTCTTAGCCTTTTTCAGGGTACTTTGAGAGGACAGGAGAAAATCTAGAGACAGAGCAAACAAAGGCTACTTTCTACAAGGAGGATAGATATTTTCTACAGTATCTTAACAAATATGTTGGTTATGTATTTAATAAGAGCAAAATAAGTGTGAAACCACTAGTGTGTTCAGGGTGTGACCATGTTACTGGTAGGTCACATATAGAAATGAAAATATACTTTCTGACAACAAAATGTACCAACCAATATTACTCCTTTAATACATTCAGAATGTTCAGCACCAAGTGCTGATTTAAAATTTATTTTGGGATAAATTTTAAAAAATAATTTCCAATGAATCCTTTGAAATTACATCTTTCCTTGGCACCATAATGATACCAAAAATTAAAAGGAGCAACTGAAAATAAAGTCAGCAAAGACAATATGCAGTATTGGAAACTCAGACTCCCAAGCTTCTCAGCTAATAACTCCTCAACTATTTAATAACTATGTGCATGATTTCACAAATGATGTTTGCCAAATTTTGATATATTTTCATGTGCCTGGCCAAAAATTAAGCTCTGACCTCACCAAAGACTGGTAAATTTAGGCAGCTTGTCAATGAATTAATTTGGGTTTTTTAAAATTACATGAGCAGAAAAATGCACTATTCCCTAAATGCATTCTTAAATTTGGCTGAGCTGTCTCAGCTGGAATTTTTCAAAGCAATTACCCCTTAAAGCATTGAAGCATATTTGCTGTGCAAAACACGGTGGTAATTTAAAATGCTACCATCCTTCTGCTATAATTATTTATCTCCAGCAGTGTTGGAAGAACAAAAAGTGTGATTTCTTGGCTGCTTTGGAGCAAAATCTGGAGTTTTAATACAAATTGCCTATAAACACAAGACTAAGCTGAACTACCTGGTGACCTCTTTAATCTGAAGTAACAGAAGGAGGCGATGGTGTCATCTTCACCTTTTTTCGCTACACTTCACTGTGAGTGCTTTAGATATATGGAAAAAAAAAAAATGTTAAAAGCATTGTTTCGGCAAAGTTGTAGGTACTGAAAACAGGATATTAAATCAAGAGAGAGTTCTATTTGCACATGGCTTACAGTACTCAACGTGTCTCTTTAACTTGGAGACATCAAGGCTTCCAAGGCTGCATTGAATTTTCTGACACTTTTTTAACTTTAGATGGAAACGTCTCGATTATTTTTTTCCTCCCCAACGTTTCAAAGAATTTAACCTGTTATAGAATCAGTCCTACTCCGCGAATAAAATCTAAGTACCCTCCAAGTCAACCTTTTCCAAAGGTACGAAGTGACAAAAAAATGCCATGAAAGCATTTCGCTGCCTTGCACGTTATAGATGATGTAGAGTCACTTAAGAGAGCGGGGAATGAAACACAATTGTGTCTGAAAACCAGAGAGCGCCTGACAGCGCTGTCCAGCCGAGAGCGCCCGGCCCGACTGGGGCGGCCCGGGAGCGGCCGAGGGAGGGGAACGCAGGGGCCGGGCTGGGCCGGGCCGGGCCAGGCTGAGCTGGGCTGTTCGGTCCGGCCGGGGTTTGCCCGGGGGATGAGGGCAGGGCAGCGGCTGCCTCTGTNGCCCCGCACACCGCGCTGCCCCTCGGGACAGAGACCTGCCGGCGGCACGCGTGGCCTCGGGGGCTGACGGGGCACCGCGGGGTTTCGCGCTGCGGTGCTGGGTCCCGGGAATGGTTCTTCTCCTCGGCGGGGTTAAACTGGGGCAGACCTTCCCTGCGTCCAGTCCCTGGGGAAAGCGATAGGGGGTTGGTCATTGCTAGGTCATTGCCAAAGCTTCCCTGCAGCCTCACGAGGCCGGCGGGGATCCCGAGGGATGCGCAGTGCCCTGCTTCTAGATCAGTCTTAGGAGAGTGAAGGCGGGAGGGAGAAAACTGCGGAGCAAGCGGGCAGAGAATGCACCCTGTGAATGCGCTATTCGATCTTCAGCTAAGCGAGTAGACGGTGGTGTGGTTGTGGCCAAACAGCCAGTACAGACTTCTAAGGAACACAGTTTACATCTCTCTGCTGGTGGTGCCTTTGGCAACGTGCATTAGGGAAAAACTCTCAGTGTCGCCTGACTCAGAGTGTCCATCCAGCTTGATACCCTCAGCTGAATGCCACGGAGAAGTAACTGAAAGGCAATCTCCACAAGCTTGTGGTGGTTTTTCAATCCCTCATGCACCAAAGAGAAGTTATTAAATCCATTCATTATCACACTGGGAAGAGGTATCCAGTAGGGTCTTCTAGGCAGCATACAATCCAGTCTGTCTTAACTGTCATTAAAATTTTGTTGCAGGAATAGAGCCTACAAATAAAATAAGCAGGGTTCCACCAAGATCACCAAGCTAGCAGCTTAACTTTTTGAAGTCACTTCCTGCCCGAGATGACTCTGATTGTGTGAATAATTTGGCTCCAGTCTGTCTCTCCCTCTCAGAACTCTGGTTTGCAGAATTTTGGCAGTATTTTTTCCTCTTTGGTTCTAGTTCCTCTTTATGAATTACATGACATGCGTGTTTTGTCCACAAAACATCTCTTCCAAACCTGCATCCATCTTATTTCACATGTGAAATTTGTTGATTTTACTGTTACTCGACTACCCTACTGCTGCACAGCAGTGATGTAAATGTAGTCAGGGCTTGATGTAGTCCATCTGTGTCATTAGGGCCAAATAGGTGAGTCCCGGTGCTCTAGGGAGCTGTACTAGTGACCTGTTCCAACTGTGCAGTCTCCTAATCATTTGTCTTCACTAAATCTACAGGGCTTTTTTGGTTTTTTGTTTGGTTTTTTTTTGTTTTTTTTGTTACTTTGTTAAATGAATTTAGGTTAAAATTTGATGTCTGAAACAGAATGTTTAACTTTTTACTGAACCTCTTAGGTTGTTTTCCCCTGTGAGCTTTCTAAGGAGACTATTACATTTAATTGTACTTAATGCTTTCTGCAAGCATTGCTTAAAAATGGAGATAATTTGGTTTGAAATATGGCTTACAAATGTCTTTGGAAAGTTGAATCAATGGAGCATTACCAAAAACTGAGTGGTTCTTGTTTTATTCTCAGAAAATTCTGGTCCATCTGGGAACACATAACTGGAAAAACGTACTAACTCTGAAAGGAACATTTAATCATTCCCTGTGTCTTTTCTTTCATTTTTTAAATACCTCCTGTAGGTATTACAAACTATTCTATGAGGCAGATTATATTGGGAGGAAAAATTATTGATGATTCAAGGTAATTATTGAATAAATTGTGTTTTAATTGTTCATGCTGGAACTTGTGGTTGTCAGCGTGTAGTATCTTCAAGCAGGGTATGATGCTTTTGAAGTGCCGGTTTATTTTGTTATCAAGAGTATTTGTTACAGCAAAGTTTGATTTTTTACAGATCAACTGTCACTATAGCTGGACAGTGTCTAGTAGATATAGTAGATGGCATAACCGATGTACCTGTAAATCAGGTGTAGCCTTGATCTTTTTTGTAATTTATAAAGAGACTTATGCATTTAGTAGGGTTACAATTTGCACAAAAGTGGCAACAGTATGAGCAGACGGGCCTGTTGGATGTAACAATTTAACTCCTGAGCCCCATGATTTCTTACAGGTTAAAAGATTTACCCAACCCACTAAGAATTTCCTTTTGCTGTTTTACCTTTCCTGTTAAAAGAAATGTATTTAAGCAATAAGAGGAAGTAGAGGCAGAAAGGTTTCCTTCTCTTGCTCTTCCCTAAGTGGTGAAGAGAGAGCTAAGAGCTTGGGCAAGCTGTCCATGGAGGGATCACCTATTGCATCCCTTTGGCCCTGCAAGAAGTGTGAGAAAACCACCAGTCTGCAGTGCTGCAGATGAGAGAAGGGGTTGCCTTGTTCAAAAGAGGACCTGTCTTTCTTGCAGATTCATGAACATCTGACCATTGATAAGATGATCTGGAAACATGGATTTTCTTAAAAGCATGCTTCAGTTCAGAGGTTGTTTTACAGGAATGTAACTGAATTTTGTTTTCCTGTATATTGTTAAGATATCAAGGCCCTTATCCTTTCCTGCTCTCTTCGCAAACTACATGGGTTTTCCTTTCTCACAGACCATTTTTAATTTCTTTAGTTGTAGTATATCTTGATTGTTTTGGTGGAGGTCTGACCTGTTCTGATGATGATTTCACATGGTCAGGTGCTGATCGGGGTTAAAGCAAAAACAAGACCTCTTATTTGCCTGCAGCAATATGGAAGCTTTAGCTTATTTCCTTTGGAAGGTCTCTAGTGACAATGGTATCTTGTATCCATACAGACCTTCCAAAGAGCTCCTTGGGCTTTAGAGGCAGGACTTTTCTCATCCAGCTGCAGACATGAGCATTTGAGTCACCCGAGGTTCTGAGTCACCTTTACAGTCTCTTACACAGAGAGATAGATACTGCTAAACCTTGCTTCGGTGGCTGTTTTAGACAGCAGCCATGAATCCTCCTCTGTAAAATTGTCTTCTTTTCCCTTCATTGTCTTGAAAAAGCTTGGGACAACCAGGTCAGATGCAGATATCATAGAAATGTTGTCATATGTATTTCCATTATTAGGAATGATCCATGGCTCTTGGAAAAACAGGCATTTGGGGCATTTCCTTATTGTCCAGCCTATTGATCCACAGCTACCCCAGGTATTACCAGTAGAGCTGCCAGTGTAGAAGATATGTTATGCTGTGAAAGAAAGAAACTGGGTGCTATATTCTTCTCAAGTTTCTGTAGGAGGTGTTTAAGCATTTACAGCAGCATATATGAGTTCATGTTCCTCACACCCCTCAGTTTCCATTTGTAGTGCTGCTTCTGGGTTTTGAATGAAAAGGAAGCACAGATTACTTTGATCTGACTTAAAATTTTACTGTGGGAATTCACAAACTAGTTTGGTAATGATAGTTCAAAAAGTTTAGGCCTGTCATTAGTTTCAAAGACTTTCTTCCAATAAAGTGACCTTTTAGATTTATGGCTGGCTGACTGCTCTCATATTTTTTTTGCTGCCAGGAGCTACACCAGCCTGCACACAGCTCTGTTTCTTCTTGTTGAACATTGATTCAGCATGCTATGAATTTAGGCTCAAATAAATAAGGGCTACAGTCATTAGAAGTATTAGCAGTATTTTGGGGACTAGATGTAATATAAATCCAAGAAGGAGAACAACATTCAGTGTACATACAAAATGAATTTTTCTCTGCTGCTCTGTTTAGAAATGCTAACAAAACCACATCTGATAGAAGTTTTGCACTGGATACATCTCAGTGCATTTCCATTTTTACTTTCACATTGTATTTGCTTGTAATATAAAGTGGTGGATGTAAAAGTGTGGCATGTGACATTGGTATCAAAGGATAAAACCCTCTGTCTGCTATCAGTGATGAGCAGACCCTGCATGGTTGATGTCTCTACCAACGGAAAATTCTCAGTTGTCCTCAGACAATCCAACGGATTAAACAAACATTTTGGTGAAAATCTTTTCATTGTAGCTACACCTGTCAGGGTGAGTGGAGATGGAAGGGGAGAAAATCTGCCTTTAGTAGCATTGCTGGTCCATCAGGCATAGAGAGAATCACAAGGAGCCGAAATTAATGAGTATGCTGATACTTATTAGATGCTTTTGCTGACAAAAATTAAAAATTACCTTCAGAGTCCCCAGTTTTAGGCAAAATGATGTGTCTGCCTCAAAGGCAACTCACCAGAAAAGTTAGGAAGCTCAGCAGAGAGGTTGTTTAAACTGTTGGCATCAAGTCCATGTTGACAGCAATGAAAAGATGCTCCTTGGTGGCCTTAGCTGATCCATACTCTCACTGGCTCTTCAAGTAACCCAGACTGCAGACACATAATTACTTTACTTTTGCATCTGAGCAAGATTTTGATGTACTTTTGAAGATTTTTCCAGTATTTTCTAACTGTACTGGAAGGCCCTATTCCCTCACTTGCTATGGGGATTTCACTGAAGCACAGAAATAAGAAGGATTATCAGCCCAAAATGAATTTTTGAAAGGTGATATGGTTCTTCTGTCTGATTGCAAATTTACAAAACAAAACAAAAACCCAGTCAAATATATATTACTGTTCTCTCTGCTTTTTGATGAAATAGTGTATTTGAAATATGTACTGTACATGTTCCTTGGAGGACATAAATATCTGAGTCAACCTTGACCAAGCAAGAACATGTGCCAAAAACATGAACACACAGAACATTCCCAAACACTTGTTGTGGTTACAGCTTAGGTTTGTACTTTGGTGACCATATCCTCATGACTGACAGAAAGGTGACAGACCTAATGTTTGAGAGAGCAAATACGAATGAGCCAGTAGTTTTAGATGCCAGTTCTAGGAAGGAATTCATAAACTTAATTGCAGTTCTGTCCCATGGGGTCCAGGTTCTTACATGAAATCCAGCAGAGCCTTTCTTATATGTCATTAGATTAGCCCCTTTTGTCTCCCCCATGTCATGATGGAGTTGCTGTGACCAGATCAGGACTGTTCCATCCCTCCTCCACTTCTAAAGGAAAAAAGAGAGGGGGGCAGTGATATTTCCTTCTCATGGAAAACCTTAGAGAAA